GATGAGATGCCTGGGGTTGTCATCGTTGGAAAGGACCATGGCCAGGCAACGTTCTCGGGTACGGCAGCTCAGCGACGGTGACACCAACACAGCTTACTTCCACTTCATCGCCAGGGGTAGGAAACGAAGGAATTACATCCCAGCCCTTGCCGTCAATGGCCGCCTCATCACCGATCACAGCGACATGGAGCTGGCACTGCATTCACATTTTGCAGGGGTGTTCGGCACTGTACCAATGGGGGCATGCTCCCTAAGCTTCGACGCTCTCGGCTTCCAGCAGCCCAACCTATGGGACCTGGACGCTCCCTTCACCGACGATGAGGTGTGGGCTGCAATAAAACAAATGCCCAGTGACAGAGCTCCCAGGCCAGACGGCTTCACCGGGGCTTTCTACAAGTCGGCCTGGCCGCTCATCCGGCTAGAACTCATGGAGGCAGTGCAGGCATTCGAGCAGGGGAACATCAGGAGCTTGGATCGACTGAACAATACTCTGATTGCACTGCTACCGAAGAAGGTCGGCGCCGCATGCCCATCTGACTTCAGACCGATCACTATGTTTCACAGCTTCGGGAAGCTCATATCCAAAATCCTATCGCTACGGCTCGCGCCTCTGCTGGCAGACATGGTGAGCAGGAACCAAAATGCATTCATTAGGACCCGCTCCATCCATGACAACTACAAGTATGTCCAACGCGCGGCGGTGCTAATCAGGAAAAAGAAAATTCCAATGCTGTTGTTGAAGCTGGACATTTCCAAGGCATTCAACACCCTGTCCTTGCCATTCCTGGTGGAAGTACTCCAAGCTCATGGCTTCAGTGACAAATGGTGCGCCTGGATTGAAGCACTACTCAGCTCGGCTACGTCGAGGATTTTACTGAATGGCAACCAAGGACCACCCATCAGGCATTTGCGGGGGGTGCGCCAGGGGGACTCATTGTCGCCAATGCTATTCATAATAGCAATTGACGTGCTGCACAGGCTGTTCCACAAGGCGTCACAGGACGGCGTCTTGAGAAGATTACCGCTACCGGAGATCAAGTTCCAATGCAGCCTATACGCCGACGACGCCGTCCTCTTCATTCGGCCAACAGTCCAGGAGGCCAATGCAGTCAAAGAGATACTTAGCATCTTTGGCCAATCTTCAGGGCTGCACACTAACCTAGCTAAATGCTCGGTCACAGCCATCTATGGAGGCGAGGACTCCCTACCGGAGATAGTTTCCATTCTCGGCTGTCAGGTGCAGAACTTCCCCATCAAGTACTTGGGGTTACCGCTAAGCACAAAAGCAATCCCGAAGGCTCACTACCAGACCCTGGTCGAGACCATTGCCACCAAGCTACCACCCAGCCACGGCACGCTTATGGCGAGGAGCGGAAGACTGGTCTGGGTGAAGTCCGTCCTTCGAGCAGTACCCATCTACGCCATGATGGCTGAAAACCTGCCTCCTTGGGCCCGGAAGGAGCTAGATGCAATCTGCAGACGATTCTTCTGGGCGGGATCAGACCAGTCGATCCGAGGCAAATGCATGGTCGCCTGGCAAACCTGCTGTAGACCGACACAGATGGGAGGGTTGGGGATCAGCGACCTCAAGCTCACCGGGTACGCTCTCCAGACTCGATGGCTTTGGCTTCAGAAAACGGACCAAGATCGGGCGTGGAGCCAACTGCCGATCAAGCAGCCAAAGAGGTCCAAGCCTTCTTCAAAGCCTCAACTTACACACGGCTGGGGGATGGACGCCGAGCCTTGTTCTGGGAGGATAGGTGGATCGATGGGCAAGATGTGGCAACCATAGCACCTTACCTCCATCAGAGAGTTCCCCAGCGTGTCCGACGAAAGCAAACTGTCCGGGAAGGACTACAGGGCAGAGTCTGGGTACGTTGCATCTCTGGCGGCCTCTCGGTTCATGAGCTCACGGACTACCTCCATCTGTGGGCAACCGTCAAAGACTACCAGCTCATCGACCAGCCGGACCAGACGAAATGGCGCTGGACGGCAGATGGGAAATACTATGTGAAATCAGCCTACAAAATGATGCACACCGGCTCCATTGCGATGACCGGCCACAGGTTAATCTGGAAAATCTGGGCACCCCTTCCTGTGAACATCTTCCTTTGGCTCGCAGTGAAACGGAGGCACTGGACAGGTGACCGGAGGGCCAGACACGGCCTCAAAGCAAGGGAGTTGTGCTATCTTGATCACATCATCGCCACATGTCCATTCTCGAGGGAGGTATGGTTCTATGTCCTACAAGCGCTTTGGCGGCCACTACCGGCGGCCTCAGCAACGTCGTTAGCCTGGTGGCGCAGCCTAAGGTCCCTGTTCAATGGTGACCGACAAACCGGCATGGACACTCTCTTCGCCCTCGTCTCTTGACAGTTGTGGAAGGAGAGGAACGCAAGATGCTTCCGGGAATCGACGTCCACGGTCACTGAGCTGCTGCAAGTCATCAAGGCGGAAGCAGACCGATGGATACAGGCGGGGGCGTCCGGGCTGAGTGCACTGGCACAAGGCTAACGGCCTCCTTCATCGCGCCGGTCATGGATGTAAGGTTCAAAATGTAGTCTGTAACAAAACACTAACGCCGGGAGCGGCACTCCTGTAATTTGAAACTCTTTTTTTTCTAATACAATGATACGCACACCCGTGCGTATTCAAGAGGAAAAAGTTGTCTCATCTTGATCCAAATCTTCCAACGTGGCACGCCATGGTGGGCACAGCAGCATGGCCCACGCATGTTTTATGCAAAAAAGAATACCGTGGGATTCCTCATATCCTCGTCTGCAAAAAAAGAACACCGTGGGATTCCTTATATCCTCGTCCTTTTACCATCTCCGATCCGTTCTCGTCCCGACCGCCAGCAATGACAATGGCGGAACCCTAGGCTAGCACATCTACGGTCCAAAAAGTATCTTAGTTCCCGGACTTTTTTCCGGATCGGTAATCTGAGGATATTATTACCTTATTTTAGTTAAGTACCTTAGTTCTTCATAGGGGGTTTTCATCCCTGAATTTTGCTTCCAAAAAGCAGGCCTAAAATACCTCGCGGAACCTTGGGTTAATTAGCAGTGGACCGCGGTCAGGCGCCGCGGCAGTTTGGGCGTGCCCGGCCGATCTAGAGCGGGGCTGTTTGCCTTCCTGGGCTGGATCAATTAAGGCCTTGGGCGACCTTCTCCGGATAAGATTTCGTCGAGTAAACTGCAAGACAGCGTTACCGACATGGAGGATAATGATTCCGCAATAGCTCAGCTAGGTCTGCGTCTTGCAGTTGCAGCTCGCTTCATCCGACGGCAAAATTCCAAACGTCTCCCACTCGCACACACTCCAGCTCACCCCTGCATTACACGCTTCCTAATCACCCGGTTGCCTATTATTATATATATTATCGTCATATCAGGCGGCAAACCAAAACTCCACAGCTAATTAAGTAAGTAATTAACCCATCCGCGTGTCAGATACTCAGATCCGTGTGGTCAGTCAGTCAGTGTGTGTCACCGGGCCTACGCGCGCGCACCGCTGCGCTGAGTCACTTTCCAGCGCATGCATATGCACGCTGCAAGAAGTCACGAACCGATCGACCGACCGACGACCGGCGGCGGGTGTGGCGGATGAGCGAGTAATGTGACGCGGAACGTGGCAGCTGGCAAATTGGCAATCATATTCATATAGATACTCTATAGCTATACATGGCGGTGATCTGATCTCGCCACCATTTCCATTCCAAGAGAAAGCAAGCGACAAACAGAAATAAATGCGGACCGGGCTCTGGCAGACGGTGGGCGCGTGTGCCCAGAGCCAGCCCCAGAACCAAGTTGCTTACCCGTTACAGCAGGTCCTCCGACGAGGCTTTCCAGATTGGGACATTTGGAGCCTTGCTCCCACTGTCCAGAAGCCTGGCTTGCCCTACGTACCCCTAGCATGTGTAATCTCTACTCTCCACTCGATCGTGATCGGCGAGATAATCTAGAAAACGCACGCGATCGCCGATCGATCGAGCGCCCCCCGCATCATGGAAGATGGAGCGAGCGAGCCCCGCCTGCAGCTGCCGGCTTCTTGTCCCGGACCTGCACTTGCAGCTCCACGACGCGTCCTGGTCCTAAAGATATCGTTTATTTCGTCAGACATGTGTGGCAGGTCGATCGCCCCGCCATATTCCTTTTGCCGGAGGCAGGGCATTCGTTCGTCAAACAAAACCCGGTGCACAGTCGATCACACCTCCCATCCAGCAGATATTTTTGAAGTACAGTAGATCTGTTCTGTTCGGTTGGACAAGATGAACTCATTGCATGACTCATTCCCTCGAACAAAAATAAATAAACTGAGCTTTTGCACAATAAATCAGAAATTTTTGACACGTTGAAGACGGGCCGAAACAGCAGTCAGACTGAACAATTTTGAGGCCCAGAACCATAATTCACTCAGGCCATCTGTATCTGGCGCCCCGCCACGCCCACGCCCACGCCCACGGGCCAGCCAAGCCAGCGCATCTCCTCCCGAACTTGCCAAAGTTTTACTGCCATACAACACAGCCGCGCAGAGCCGCCGAGCCAATCACAGAGAGCAAAATGGCCGGAACCGCCGCGCTCCTCTCTCTCCCCATCTCCGGACGTTACGTTTGGCAGCGCCACGTGCTCTCGTGGCCCACACGCCAGTGACACAGGAGTAGGAACGGCGGCCGGGTGGCGTACTGGCGTCCCTCGTGTCCCCATGGGTCCACCCCCGCCTCCTTCCGAGGTCCGAGCAACGAGCAGTGAGTAGGCCGCGACTCTGGCCGCCTTGTCGCGACGCGCGATCCCATCCGGCGCGGGCGCGCGGCTCCAATCCTGTCGCGTGGCCATTAAAAGCCTCCCCTGCTCCGCTCGTCTCTTCCGGAACCGTCCCTCGCTCGTCATCTCTTCGCCTCCGCTACGCAATTCCGATCCACGCTGCGGGGCGCGGGCTAGTTGTGACGACCGCGGAACTCGTGTGAGAGAGAGAGGCGGGGAGGCGGGCGGCGATCGGAGATGGCGCAGCAGAAGCCCCGGAAGGAGGAGGAGGAGTTGATGCTGGAGGATGGAGGCATCGAGGAGAGCCCGCGCCGCAGCTTCGAGGACTGCGGCGACTCCGAGGAGGACCGCGGGGAGGACGATGACGACGATGACGAGGAGCGGGAGCGGGTCGGCGACTGCGTCGGTTCGCCGCGCTCATTCCAGTCCCAAAAGTGGCCGCAGAGCTACAGGTGCGTGCGCTGTTGCCATTCCTTGCTCGATCGCCGCTTACGTACGCGGCTTTTTTTAGTACTACTTTGTTGATTAACAGAGTAATCAATTATTATCAGCAATCTGTTCTGTTTACTATTTTTATTAGTATTTATTATCGGTAGACTGTAGTATTGTATGGCGGCTCCGGTGATGGAGATGGACTGATGACCGCGGCGGGGTCGCTTCGTTGATTCCCCTGTTTTTAGTACTCCCTTTGTCTAAAAAAATACAATTCCAAATTTAAAACCAACTTAAAAAATTAAGATTTAAATAAATTAATTAAAAATTACATCAGCATTTCATCTTTAAATATTTTTTTATAAAAAATATATACCATAATTAACCAATCATACTTATTTGGTAATTCCTCGGTCCTAGAAAAAATATAATTCTAGATAAACTATTTTGGGTTTTAACGAAATTTATGTAAAAGATATCAATACCTGTCATACGAAATAAATATTATATGACTCGTTATGGAATAATTTTCATTTAATTCAACGCCTGAAACTAGAACTTTATGCTTTCTAAAGCGAAGATAGTATCCTATATATTAGTATTTTTATATATTTATTTAGTCAAACTTAAAATTATTTAACTCGTCAAAAAAGTGAGAAATATATTTTTATTTTTTTTCTCGAACACACATGAGAGTACATTTCATTGTATTAACAGGTAGAAAACGGTCACCGGAAAATACAGATTCCATATCTAGGTTAGTTTTCCAGAGACACAAATGCCCTAAAAGTAAGAAAAAAACACCCTCCACACGAAGAAGAAAACTTATTGAAGCAACTGGACCAGCGTCTTTGCACATTTCTTTTATATTTGGGACCGAGAGAGTAAAGCTCTATGTTGATTAGTGGGCCTGGTTGAATCGTCAATTTCGTGACTGGGACGGGATGTGGAACGGACGGCTGGTTCCGCCACAGATTGAACACTCACACGTGTCTTGTTGGTATTTTTCCTGAGGTTCCTTTCACGTCTAATCGGAATGCACTAGAATGCACACTTGGGAGCGGGAGGTGCTCTGAACTCTGCAAGTTCTAAAAATTGAGGCGTCGTGCCGATAAGCATGATGACCACAGGTTCTTGTATTGTTTGTGCTACCATTGTTGACATATTACACATGTATTTTGTCATGAGTTTTATGCAGTGGACTGGAGTTTAGTCCCTGTTACTCTAAAAGAGGACACATGACATGGCCCAGAGGGGATGTAAAAGACATATTTGGCTTCTCTTGGCATCTGAAAACAGATGATGCATGTATCGTTCAGCTTTCTTAATAGGACTATATTGGTCCTGTAACTTCTATTTTTTAAATGAAGAACTGATCCTGCTATTACCAAATCAATCATTTTAGATTTATTGATCAAGGTTGTGTTCATGCTGGTTGATGCACCAAGAACTTGAGACATTGCACGATTTCTGTATCTGTTGGCATCTTAGTAGTTATCATAATTAAAGAACTCCAGCCTTATGCTACAAGTTTATTCGTGGATCAATATGTACAGTACAGATAATGTGATCATGATATTCTTTGTTTTTCAGGGAAACAACTGACACCTACACAATCGCTGCATCACCGAGCTTTGGTTACTTGGGCCCTTCTACAAGCAAATACTCACTCCTCGATCTTGGTCGTAGTGGTCTGGGCTCTGACCTGAAGTTGCCTCTAGTATCGGACAAGGCTGATGGAAACCAAGATTCTGTTAAAAACTTGCCGAAAACCCTTAGTTCAATAAGAGATGAGAGAGTCTCATTTCAGTTGCAGCACACGGGAGAAATCTACATTAGTCAAGGGTGCAGTGTGACGCAAACAGTCTTCAATGGTACCATCATTTGAATACAAAAACGTTCAACTTACTTGCTCTATTGAACATGTTTGATACATATTTCTTTTCGTTATTGGCAGGGATTAATGTACTTGCTGGTGTTGGCCTTCTTTCCACCCCGTTTACAATTCATGAAGCTGGATGGACTGGCCTTGCAGTTCTAGTATGTTTTGCAATTGTTTGCTGTTATACTGGAATTCTTCTGAAACATTGTTTTGAGAGCAAAGATGGTATCTCAAGTTATCCAGACATTGGAGAGGCTGCATTTGGAAGAATTGGCCGTCTGTTGATATCTGTAAGTTTTGGTATCTTTAGATGAAAGGAGTAGCTTAGGACAATCTTTCAAGAGTATGTAGAGATGCCTGTGCACCTACCAAAGTTACATGTCACAATACCTACAAGCAACTATTGATCTTTTTTTCCCCATACACGCTTTCATTGCATGGGCTACTGTTGTATTGATTGTCAACAATATGCACCTAACCTTGATCACTTCCTTATCTGATTGTTTGCAGTTTGACAAAAATAGACACCTACTCAAACTCTTTACTCTCTCCTTTTTTTTTTTGAAATGTTGACACCTGTTCATAGTGCATATCACATGAATGAATCTAAGATTTTTCAATCAACCATTCGCACCTCAATGCTAGAAAAATTCTCATCCCTCTTTGTTTTTGTTTCATGCATGAGATGTTTTCTAAACTTTTTTATTTGTAGGAAAGAAAAACTAACTGATGATTATTTTTCATGCAGATTATTTTGTATACCGAGCTATATGTAAGTACCTTCCATAGTTTACCGTTTAGTATTTTTTTAGAGACCAAACGCAGGACTAAGTTTTCCTTTTATTATGTTATTTATTGGCTGCAGACGTATTGTGTGGAATTCATTATTTTGGATTGTGATAACCTCACATCAATTTTTCCTAAAGCTGGTTTTGATTGGCTTGGGATTCATGTTGATGGGAAGCATTTTTTCGGGGTGTTAACTGCTATTTTAGTCTTGCCAACAGTATGGCTGCGAGATCTTCGAGTGCTCTCATACCTTTCAGGTCTGACTGCTGATAGTGTGTTTATTTTTGCACAATATTATTAGTAATACTAAAATAAGGATCAAGTAACTTCGCATGGTTTTAACTAATTATTATTATGCATGCAGCGGGTGGTGTGATTGCAACTCTTCTCGTATTCCTGTCTGTTGGTTTAGTCGGTGCTACTGATGGTATAGGCTTCCATTCAACTGAAGGTAGTAAACTGGAGTGGCATGCCCTTTGCCATTGGTATTTATGGATTTTGCTACTCTGGGCATTCAGTATTTCCAAATATCTATCAGTCAATGTCCGATCGCTCTAAGTTCCCTAAGGCACTGTTCATATGGTATGTTTGGCCTGATGACTGTTTCGGTTTACCTTGTTACTGAATAATGATGTTTTCTCAAGGTGTGATGGTATTGTGCAGTTTTGCAATTTGCACAGCAATATATGGATCTTTTGCTGTCATTGGCTTTCTTATGTTTGGAGAGAACACTTTATCACAAATCACTTTAAACCTTCCAAAGCATTCGGTTGCTTCAAAAGTTGCACTATGGACCACGGTAACAACTGCATCCAGACCTAAGTTTACTTTCTCAAATTCAGAAATCTTTTCTTTATATTACCTTTTTAAACGATTTTTCTTAACTCTTTTCTTTATATTACTCAGTACTGTTTTTGTATGTTTTCAGGTGATCAATCCTTTCACCAAGTATCCTCCTCATCAAAACCTCAAAATTTCAGTTTCCTAGGATAACATTTTGATTTTAATTGTTCTAACTCTTTGTAGAATTTCTTCATCCTTAATTACAACCAGATATGCCTTGTTGTTAAACCCATTAGCTCGAAGTTTAGAAGAGCTGCGTCCTGAAGGTTTTTTGAACGAAACATCATGCTCTATTATACTGAGGACTGCCCTTGTTGCATCAACTGTGTGCATTGCCTTTCTTCTGCCGTTCTTTGGTAAGCATGCACCCATTTACTGAATTGTGCATCCCACATCACTCTTTACTTCTGTTTATCCTGAAAATTTTCAGTATATTGTATCGCGTTAATGTATACAGAATTTTTACAAGTACAGTACAAATTAAACCAAATTCAGCTTGCTGCCTGGCTAGCGGTGACCAAGCTGCTTGTCGCACCATTTGTAATTGTCAAGGGCGTTGATGCCCAAGATTGCTGGACCGCGGCTACGGTTCGTAGCCGGGGTTGGTACTGGCGCTGGGGTTCTTCCCAGGACGCTCAATGGTGAAGGGGTGAGATTAAGATAGAACTAGAAAGCAACGCGTGGCCTTGCCGCACGGCCACGTATGGTGGCATGGTGCTGATATTGTGGAGCCAGTGCGTAGAAGGTTTTTTGTTTCATTTTTTCCATACAAGTTGATTGGATTGCTTCCCTCTGGGTATGAACAATCAGGTTATTGGTACAAGTACATATAGAAGTATCCAAAACTAAAGCTAAAAACCGTGAATAGCATTACTACAATTGTATTATAACAATAAGAATAAATGTCCGTAGGGTAAATTTTTCTTTTTGAGCAATTGAAGAGATGAATATTTAATGGACGGAATGGAAATTAGGTGTAGCGTGTTCACTATACTACTTGTTAATAAGTAAGCCAATGGATACAGGTTGTACATTACTATTAAGAAAAATTGAAGGTCATAATTTATCAGAGCAAACAACATGCCTGCTTAAGTGGTGCATCGCCTTGATATTTTTTCGAAAAGAAATAGCCCAGTCGTTTTAAGCCAGAATTTATCGGATCTGTATACTAATTCTCACAACCACTGTTATAGGAGAGGCGTCAGAAACTGCAAAAAAGTGTAACTGAACAGAACAAAGATAATGCCTTTAGCGGTAAACCTACAGGAGTTATACTAGCTACAAATGTCAAATTCAAATTTCAACCTGAGGAACAATCAAGAGGATGAAACGGCTGATTGGGAATCCAGAAACTGTCTTTGAATTTTGACATGTGTTAATATAGTACTTAAAAAGGGTAATAAGTAGTTTTGGTACACAAACTATATGAGTCAAATAAATTTAATGCTGATTTATGTATGACTTCTGTATATATGTCTATATGCATTACATTGCTTATTTAATTATCTGGCTAGATGGACAGTTGACTGCCACAGTTGGTAAAACACTCGGTTGCAATCAAGTTGCTACATGAACGAGGAATTCAACATTTATGAAATGAAACTCTGATATGCTACTTTTAAAAGGCAATATGGATTTGTTTTTTATTGACAAATGATACGAAAATGATACAAAAGTTAGTGGTAATCCAAGGCCAAAACAATTAGTTGCAATCAAGTTGCTATTAGCAAAATTAAGCCTGCAGAGAACTTGAAGCTAGCTGTATTGGCAAAGTAGAAATTAGAGAACCGTGAAGAAAAAGTTGACGATAAATTGCAGTTATTTTTTTCGTTGGGGCACCTTGGGGAATCGCTCCAACTGCTGCACTGGCTGTGTTGACAGCTTTTGGAGACATAGTTCAATCTTCAGCTAACTATATTTTTAAGGCATTAACACTATTTGCAGTTTGTAACTGTTCTTTTTCATAAATATATATATGATGTACAGTAGGGGCTTGCCCCTCCTGTTTTTTTTTTTTTTAAAACACTACTTATTGTTCCAGAGTGGAAACTAAAAATAAAATAATTATGTTGGATTATATCAAACTCAAATGCAACAAATAATCACCCTTTTGCAGAATTTCAGTGAGTCAAGAAACTCTTGTTTCTATCGTTCTCATCCCCACTTGTTTAAATAGGTTGAAATTGAATTTTGATCTGAAAGTATTCTTAATATCTTCTTTAGCACATTCTCATACCTTGAGTACTCCTTGTAGTTGATTGCAAGTAAAGAAATAGAAAGGGCACAGTAGGATTCATTTTCTGGGTGCTGCTTAGTGCTTAACTCATTCAGTACAGAGGCTGTCAAACACCAAGGAGACAAGGTAATCTGCATCAATCCAATCAAGACGTTGGCGTCCCTGAAGGTGTGCATGGCCGGGTCGGTATGTGCGATGGCCATGGCATGCTCTGAGCGCTTGGAGGTGACTGGTTGACGCAGAGATGCAGCATGTAGCAATTTCTGTAGTAGTAGTAGACAGTGACAAGCAGCTGCATACTCCTACTCAGCTCTGATATAGTGGTTGAGCCATCTAATGCATCAAATGCCTAGCAAGTAAACCGTAAACTTCTTAAAAAAAGGGCGTACCCAGTGCAGAGAGCTCCTGCTCTGTGCGGGGTCTGGGGAAGGGTGTCAGTGGCAAGCCACGTCATCCCTCTCTTCAAATACTGAGCGCCCGATCCCAACGGTCAAGTGATGACCGGACGCAGCACAATGCTACGACTGGACGCAGGACCCCAGCGTCCGGTCACTTCCAGTAAGGTTCCACTCGCAACCAGACGCGTCAGGTCAGTCACGATCGGACGCAGCACCAGTGTCCGGTCAATTCTCTTCTCTGTGCTGCCACGTCAGCGGGACCGGACGCAGCCAGCCAGCGTCCGATCGAAGACCGACGCCAGCGTCTTCACTGCTTCTACTGACCAGACGCGCCGGTCCAGTTGAGGCCAGCGTCCGGTCCACTCTGTGAAACCCTATCTTTTCTGTATGGGCAGACACTCCGCCGGTGAAGTTTCTTACCCTTGCTCCTAAGTGCTAAACACAATGTGTATCACCTTTGTGCATGTGTGTTAGCATATTTTTCATAAATATTTTCAAGGGTGTTAGCACTTCACTAGATCCTAAATGCATATGCAATGAGTTAGATCATCAAGTGACACTTTGATAACCGCATTTCGATACGAGTTCCACCCCTCTTAATAGTATGACTATCGATCCTAAATATGATCACACTCATTAAGTGTCTCGATCACCAAAACAAAATGGCTCCTACCATTTATACCTTTGCCTTGAGCCTTTTGTTTTTTTCTTTCTTCTTTTTAAGTCCAAGCACTTGATCATCACCATGCCATCACCATCATCATGTCATAATCTTCATTTGCTCCACCACTTGGAATGTGCCACCTATCTCATAATCACTTTGATAAACTAGGTTAGCACTTAGAGTTTCATCAATTTACCAAAACCAAACTAGAGCTTTCATCCGCCCACGTGGAGCTGAAGATGAGGATGTCGTCGAAGAAGACGAGGATGAAGCAGCGAAGCTACGGCCGTACAACGTCGTTCATCAGCGCTTGAAAAGTAGCCGGCGCATTGCACAAGCAAAAGGGCATGACCACGAACTCGTATAGTCCATCATGTGTGTGGAACGCCGTCTTGGCGATGTCGGCCGGGTTCATCCGCACTTGGTGGCAGCCCAAGCGTAGATTGAGCTTGGTGAAGAACTTGGCGCTGTGGAGCTCGTCGAGGAGCTCGTCAACCACCAGGATCGGAAACACGACCGTGATCGCGTTGAGGGCGCGGTAGTCGATGCAGAACTGCCATGAGCCGTCCGCCTTCACCAAGAGGACGGGTGAGGAGAACACGGAGGAGCTTGGTTGGATGAGCCCCTAATGCAGCATGTCGGTGCATTGGCGTTCTAGCTCGTCCTTGTGCGTGGCCGGGTAGCGGTACGCACGGCAACCGGTGCGGCGCCTAGCTGGAGGACAATGTTGTGGTCGTGGGTCCGGGGCGGTGGAAGACCACGTGGCGCGGAGAAGACATCGGCGAAATCGTGGAGCACCGCATCTAGCAGGTCACGGCCGGAACAGGAGAGGAGACTGGGGGCGGCCGCACCAGCCGCTCCGTGCCAGCATACCTGATGATCTTTATGCTAGAAGGACATGGTCAGGGCGGCGAAGTCCCACAAGATCGGGCTGAGAGTCGCAAGCCACTGGGTGCCCAGCACCACGTCATAGCCCACCAGTGGAAGCGCGAAGAGGTCGGCGGTGAACTGCTCACCGTCGATGGAGAATGCGGCGCCCGTGGCCACGCTGTTGCATGGCACCCGCTCACCGTTGGCCACTGTGACGGACGCCAAGCCACGGCGGACCATGACCAGGCCGGTGTGGTTGGCGGCGTCCTCGGCGATGAAGTTGTGCGTGGATCCCGAGTCGATGAGCGCGAGGAGATCGACGTCGCCCATGCGCAGCCGCATCTGCATGGTGTCGCTAGTGTGCACCCCGGCGATCGCGTGGAGCGAAATCAGGGGATCCTGCGTGTCGTGGCCGAGGTGAGCAGGGGCGTCGTCCTCATCATCGTCCGCCTCCGCCAAGTTGTTGTCGATGAAGAAGAGGCGCTGGCACACGCGATTGTGGCCGCGGTCGAACTTCTCATTGCAGTTGAAGCAGAATCCCTGGTGGCGTCGGTCCTCCATCTCCGTCGCGGACAGGCGGCGAACGGGCCGTCCCTCCACCGTGATCGTGGCCGCAGGATTGGTCGCAGCTGCGGTGGGGCTAGCAGGGCGAGCTGCCGCGGGGGACCCAGCAGCAGACCCCGCGGTTGCTGTTGCGGGGGCGCCGATGGTGGAGCAAGAGCCGCGGCGCACTGATCGCGCAGCTCCAACTTCCGAGCGAGGCTCATGGCGAACGCGAGGGACTGGGGATTATGAATCTCCACGTCCAGGCTGAGCGGAGGTTGCAGCCCCGCTGTGAAGATCTGCACCCGTTGCGGCTCGGAGAGGGTGCCGACGCGAGGAAGAAGCACCTCGAAGCGATCCTAGTATTCGACGACGGAGCCCATGCGTCTGCACGCCATGAGCTCGCCCAGGGGATTGGAGCGCAGAGGTGGCCCGAACCAAAGGTGAAGCAGCTCGGTGAAGCGGCGCCAACGCGGCGTACCCTCGTCCTGCTGGACCTGAATGTACCACATTTGTGCGCCGGCCTCTAGATTGTAGGAGGCCATCCACACCTTCTCCTCCTCCGCAATCCGATGCTGGTGAAAGTAAGACTCACAACGATTGATAAAAGCCAGCGGATCGGACTTGCCATCATATTTGGGGAAGTCTAGCTTCTGGAAATGCGGTGGCCGATCATTGTGGTGTTCGCCGGAGCCGGTTCCCTTGTTGGCGGACGAGGCAGCAGCAGCAGGGGCCGCGGTGCTGGAGGGCGTCAACCTTGGCGGTCAGGTTCTCGACGGTCTTGGCCAGGTTGGCTACGATTGTGGCGAGCTCAGCAGCGGAAGGCTCGGCCATGGCGGATGTCACCGATCCAGTCGGGGATGGTGGCGCGGGCACAATGGGGTTTAGCGGCGGGGTGGTGGTGGTGGACGAGGAACGCCTGGAAGATGATACTAGGTTGTCAAGGGCGTTGATGCCCAAGATTGCTGGACCGCGGCTACGGAGTCGTAGCCGGGGTTGGTACTGGCGTTGGGGTTCTTCCTAGGACGCTCAATGGTGAAGGGGTGAGATTAAGATAGAATAGGTAGATTAGGGAAATTGCTTGTCATTGCTTGATCCAACGATGTCTGAGTACAGCCAATATATAGGCGCAGAGGCCAACTAAATAACAGGAATTGAAAGCCATAAATCCCCTAAACTTAGCCTTCCTTGCATGCTGCTGTCCCTGATCTGCTGCTGGGCGCCATTTGGGCGCGATCACCATGCGCCTAAGCCTTGCTGGAGGCATAAATGTTCCTGGTCTTGTGCTGCCGGCGGGAGTAATGGTGCCCCCACATAACAGTAATCATGTAGTCTCACGAGTCTGGCCAATGGCCGTACTTCGCCCAATCAGGCTTGCGGCCTGGCGTGCGTCTCGCACTCTAAGCCGCCGGGCATGACCGGTGGTGAGTACTCTTTGTACTGGTCTCCGTACCAACTTCTTCTTAATGAAATACACGACCGTGAAAAAAAAAACCAAATTTTGCTTTCTTCTACATGCTTTAATCTTAATTCAACTTAAGCAACTTTAAACTCTATACTTCAAGTGGCATCTCAGTTTACTGTCTTGACTGAAGGCCTGCATTTCTGAACTATCTGCTGCGTGTTTCAGGTCTTGTGATGGCTCTCATTGGATCTCTTTTTAGTATACTTGTGGTAAGTCATCTCGTTTATCATCTAACTTGTTATCACTGTACTGAGCTGTGTTGTGAGACTACGTATGAAGTGGCAAACTTGTTGAGATAAAGGTTGCTATGCTGGAATTATAAGAACAGTATTGGCACTTGTTGTTCATATCTAAATTTCCTAACTTGCATATACATGGTACTTGTGAAAATGTGAACCGTTTTCCCCTCTTAATGAAACATGTGTCAACTCGTTCTTGGAAAAAAAGAAAATGTGAAACGTTTCATGAGAAATAATAGTATTGTTTGGTTTTTTCTGACGTACCATGCATTGTTTGATTATTACAGTTAACAGCCTCGTACAAAGCTATCAGACAAAACTTTCTGATATACTCCATCCGTCCAGCAAAGAATACAATTCTAGCACACTATCATGGTTTAGTATCCTAAGTTCGATCAATTATAGATAAAAATGTATCAATATTTATGATATCAAATAAAAATCATTAGATTAATTTCAAAATGTATTTTCATAATAAATTATTTTGGAGCTATAGATGTGAATAGTATTCACTAGAAATTTGGTGAAACGTGAACCACTTTTGCTGGCACGCAACCCGTAAATTCATTCTTTTCTGGACAGAAGGAGTACCATGTATTGTTATTTCATTTGTGGCCTAAGAAAGAGGCATGGATGATAGAGTAATCGTATTTTATTATATAATGTGATAATGTGATTAATTAACGAGTGTATACTTTCCAAAATTACAGGCAGTCATAATGCCAGCCTTGTGCTTCCTGAAGATCGCACAGAATAAAGCAACTTGTTCACAGGTAAATGATCGTCAAAATGCAGTTATCACAAAATGAATTTTCGTCTCCGCATATCGGACTCTCAACTGGAGATCTCTGATGATACTTCCTGGTGGAAGTATTATTTGCGGTGGCTATTTTGCAGTCGCTGATATGGTTACTTGTCAATCTCTGATTTCAGGTAATCGCAAGCATTGGTATCATAATATTGGGTGTCATCAGTGCTACCCTGGGGACGTACTCCTCCGTCAAAAAGATTGCAGAAAACTACTGCGTCTAATATTGGGCGTCATCAGTGCTGCTCTTCGACAATTGCTGTCTGCAGAGTCTAATGGTCAGGTTTTACGTACGAGCAAAGTTTTGCTAGAGCTACCGAGTTTCCTGTAGATTATTATTATATTCCGACCACAATAGTCTACTAAAAAACTGAATATCACTTGCAATAATGTAATCATTGCCCCCTTTTACTGCGTCTCTATCATTTCGTTGGACTGTAGCAAGTTCCTGTGCTGCCGATTGTTCCTATGAGATCCTGCTTTTTACAATTGAGGTATCTACACATAAGCTTTATCTGGGCTTTTGGAGTCGATAAATCAGCTTTGAAAGTTTGAAGATACCATTCCTCCGCTGTTCCCTCGTAGGTGGGCTGGGTTGGGCCTTATTATGGTTATATGCCTCTTCTAGCCTGGAAGGGAAGGCCTGTTTTGTTATTTGCTGGATTAGGTTGATTGCTAGCATACTGGGAAGGGAAGCAGCATACTGGGCCCTTCTGTTCTATGGCCTAGCAGGATAGCACATTTCCTTTGCATGCATCTACTTGGCAGGCCCTTTATATGGTGTTGGAGAATCTTTTTTTGTTATGATTCGCTGCATGCAAGCACTCGAATGATTAAAAAGGCGCCTGGTGCTTTTATTAAGTGGATATAGGAAAGCAGTGCTGCTCCTAAAGTCTAAAGAGGGCTGTAGCACAAACTTGAAACACTGCCAATATTCGTACGTCGGATTGCAGGCGGGGCGGGTTTGTGGACGGCCACTTACCCACTAAGCTTGCCGCAAACTAATTAAGCGGGTTTGTGGCTGCCCACGAGCGCAACTGTGATCCTCCACCGTGATCCACCGGACTATGTGGCTAATACAACAAACCCGCAAGGCCCGTAAAGCACACTAGCTAGATTTGTTGCTGCTACTAGCTCATCTGCAACATCGTGAGGACTCACACGGACATGGCAGCGAATGAGCTAACTAACTCGCCGGCAGCCGCACCTCCGCCTGTGGAGTTCAGATCCTCTGATCTAGTAGCTGCTATTGCTAATTGCTATCGCTGGACAGGAAGACCTCAACGGCGGTCCGCCCTACAGCCAGGTGCTCATGGACGTCGTCGCCATGCGTGGACGCTGAGGTCGGTCGTGGCACCCGGGTCCCTGCAGCACCCAGCACTCTACGGAGTCACCACCGGAGAAGATGAACTCCTCGTCCTCCTCCGCGCCCACCACCCCAAGCTCCCAGTCGATGGGACCGCCAGCATATCGCCTGACGCGCGGGCCAGCTCCAGAACGAGATCAAGGAGCGGTTGTCACGATGGATACTGGATATTCGACAGAGGCAGGACACAACCATCGTTGCGGGTTCTTGCGGGACGTTGTGGGCTTGCCCTCTTGTCCAATGGGCTTCGCGGAACATCACACAACATGCCGCAAAGATGTTGCAACTGGTCCGCATCTGCCGCAAAAGCATGATTTTGCGGGGTGGACATGCGGGCTCCGATAAAAACCCGCCCCGCCTGCAAGCCGATTCGTACGCACTGCAGCAAGAATGAGCGAACGTGTTGGGAGTGGAAAGCAGGGGATTGATGTTTCAAAAAAAAAGCAGGGGATTGTAAAGCTTGACGATTCCCACACTCGCAAAAGAGAAGGGAGTGGAGTGAAGGAGTTGCTTTGCGGAACTTTTCACACAAAGCCGGAGGCCGGAGTTTTGCCCCTTTATGGGGCTCCAACTTTCCATTGGCACCTCACATTTGTTTTTGTTTTTATTTAAGGAATCCGAATTGAAGGGGGCACCGCCCCCCTCTCTCTCATTTGATAGTCTGATCTCTGTAGCAAGTAGTAGTAGTAGGAAGTGACCAAGCAGAGAAAGAGAGAGAGGGGAAAAGAGGAGTTCGTGTGTGTTGCCTTTATGCAAAGACGGCCATCTTTGCAGAGTGCATCCCACTTCGCATTTCCATCTTAAAAGACAAGAGCTCTTTTGCTCATGACTTTTAGTAGTGCAATCTTTCTGCCCTCAAAAGTGGCTAATCCTTTCTCTTCCTTTCATTGGTGTCTCAAACTCCCTGGCCTTTTCTCCTTTCTCGCCCGAAAAGGGCATGGCCATGCCATCTTTTTTGCCACACCCCTCACCATCCATGCTGTGGGACCAGGGGAGCATCATCCTCACTCTTTGGTCGTTTGTCAAGACTCAAATACCCTCCCTCCCTCCCTCCCTCCCTCCCTCCTCCCCAGGTGCCTGCCTTCACATCTCCTTCCTTCCTTCACATTTTATTCCAGCGCAGCGCAGCGAAAGGTAGAGAGACAGAGAGATGAGGCTCTCAATGGGCAATCAATTATAAAGCTTGCCAGCTTTACTGGTGGCCATGCAATTTTCAATCCAGAGCTGGAGTGTTTCCCTTCCTTCCCCCATGCCATTGCCATCTCTCCGTGCATCTCCATGGTTAAAACGTAACCCTGCCTGCTTGCATGCATCACTACTACTACTACGAAGTAGTACTACATACTACTCAATCCATCCAAATTGTAAGACGTTTGACTTTTTTGACATCAAGTTTGACCACTCGTTTTATTCAAAATTTTGTGTAAAATATCACTTCTTTCGTCATGGTTTGGTTTATTAATAAAAATTTTTCAAGAATGACTTAAATTTGACTATATTTGCACAAATTTTTTGAATAAGACGAGTGGTCAAACTTGGAGCAAAAAAGTCCAACGTCTTACAATTTGGGATGGAGGGAGTATAATATAATAATGATTTTTATATATTAAAAAAAACTAGCACTTACTGGGTGATTAAAGGCTTGATAGAGCTAATCATGGTGGTTAAAAGGCGCAAACTTTATTTAGGTGTGTGTTGTGGGTGGGTGCGTGGACTATGATGGCCCGATGCGATTTGCACTTTTACTTTGCACCAACTTTGTTTCTTGAAGCTAAGGATTGACGCACGGGCAGGCGGCAGGCAGGTCATTATTCCTCATCATGCTCTACTTTGAGTTGTGCAGAGAGATGCACGGTAACTCAAGCAACCCAAAAGGGGGGCAGCAGCAGCACAATGCAACGCAACGCAACACGGCCATCTTTTTCTCTCGCTAGCATGCAGCTCGGTGCCCTCTCTCTTTCTCTCTCTCTCTCTCTCTCACACACACAGCTTTGCTTGCATCCCATCCCAAGGCATGGCATGGCATGAAATGAATGGGCATGATTTCACCACCAAAGTGCCGTCCACTGAAAGACTACTACTGAGGCCGGGAGGGAAAAAGGCTACTACGACCACACTTCTTAAAAAGACACATGCATGAACCGCCAGAAAGAATAAAAAGAGGCCTGCCTAGGTAGTGAAATTATGCGTGCATAAACCACGCTACTAGCCCGCTTTAAATTATTGGCGCTCACAGGAATCATGCACGCTCGATTGTGATTCACTTTTTTCACCTTTCCTCAATAATTACGCACGCACAGAGGCACTGTGGTTAGTTTCGTCAAAAGAGAAGGAAAAAAAGGAGTGGGATGGAAAAAGGCAAGGGGAAAATTTGAATTATGTGACAAGATAGCTCGCATCATTCCTACCTGAAAGGCGCGATATTGTCGAGTACTCATCACTACGTAGTAGGCTAGTAGCAGCATATACTTGGGCCGAGGCCTGATGGTCTGAACCTTATGAGCCCAGATCCATGCCCAGCCCATTCTTTTGACGAGCCTGAAGACCCACGCACAAAGATGAAAGCTCCAAGATAGATAGTAGTTTGCTTGTTTCCAGAAAAAAGGTATTTAGTTTCCCGGCCTAACCGCAGATATTTGGTTTAGCTTCTTTCCGGAAAAGAAATAAAACAACGGCTATTCCCAACAAATACACCCATCTGATGCTAATAAAATAAGCGAAGCCACAATTGTGCTTATTAGCTCGACGAGTCGCCATCCTTTGCCGAAAAGGAGACCCGCGATAATAAAGGAGAAAAGCCAAGTGTCATGGGCAAACGAGCTCATCAGCAGATTTTCACTGCTGCAGATCGATATCAACACAAGCGTGCCTTTTTTCAGTTGAGCTATGTGTATCAGTGTAGTATGTGGGAGAAGAACGAAGATGACCGCGCGCGCGCGCGCCGGGCCATGCCATCGCACTCATTCCATCATGATGCCGCCGGCCAGCCGCTGCCGGCTGCGAGTGTCGTCCATTGCATTGCATATGCGTATGCGTATGATTCGGCGCCGAGCAGGCGGACAAGCAGATAGCGGCTGGATCTCGCCTCAGGCGGCCAACCGGGCCGCGCGGGGCAGACCGGCCGGACGGCAGTGGGCCGGGGATCGCCGGATCGGGGTCGTACGTCGTGGTCGTGGTGGTGGCGTGGTGGCCTCCGGAGAGATCGATTGTACAGTACGGCGCTGTGAGCAGCAGGGTAGCCCGGCCGGGGCCGGGCGACCGCGCGAGTTCACCTACTCCGTGCGCGCGAGCGCATATGCATGCACGCGCCCGGACGGCGGACGCTCCCGGCCCCTTTTTCCACGATGGGCGCCACAGCTACCAGTGGTGGTGGACTGGTGGTGCACGCTAGCTGCTGGCGCAGCGCGCCCCCTTTTGCGGCTTGTTGCGTTGCGCCTTGGCCGGGTAGCGCCCGCCCTTATGCTGCCTGCCTAGCTCCGTACGTGGCTCCATGCCGCGAATGAGCGAGCGAGATCGATCGCGTCGTGGCGTCCTTTTGGTGGGTTGGTGACGATTTGGAGTGACGACCATCGGTGCCTGCGTGCGTGCTGGATGCATGACAGCTAGCGAAACACACTCGATCTATCGGTGCCTGCGTGCGTGCATGGATGCATGACAGCTAGCGAAACACACTCGATCTGTACAAACCTTGTTCGCTTGGTTGTAATAGGTTTATAAGCCATGACTTATCGGCAAACGAATAGTATTTTTTTCTCACACCAAATCAGTCCAACAGTACTTTCAGTCATGACTTATAAGCCAAATAAACCCAAACGTACAGGGCGCCAGCGTGCTAATGCATGGCGTGCATGGTTGTTG